GGAATAGAATAGAATAGAATAGAATAGAATAGAATAGAATAGAATAGAATAGAATAGAATAGAATAGAATAGAATAGAATAGAATAGAATAGAATATAGCTTTTTATCTAAAAGTCACTGTGGAGTTGGGTGACATTATAAATTAAATAAAAACAAACATTGTAATGCCCTTATAAAAATCTATGGTTTATCTCCAGTATATCTAAAGTACAATGTATGGTTCTGGTTGCTACACCTCAAAAAGTAAATAGTAGAAGTAGAAAAAGTACAAAAAAGGACAACCAAACTTGATCAAGGAAATATTTAGCTTGGAAAAAATGTGAATGGGGGAGATGTGATTGAGCTGTATGAAATCATGCCAGGCATGGAGAAAATGGACAAGGAGAAGCTTTTCTTCCATCTCTCAAAGCACTAGAAACAGGGACCACAATAAAACTGATTGGAAGGCAATTAAGACAAATGCAGGTATTTATTCACAATTAACCTATGTAGTGGCCACTAACTTGAATGGCATGAGCAAGGTCTCTGATATGCTGAAATTCCTTTTTTTTCCCCCTCCCTCTCCCATTCATGGTTTTTTATAATAGGAGAAAAATCAGTAATTTCAAGTACATTTTTCATTTGGATTTCAGTTTCACTGCTATTTGAGATAAATTTAATAGTCCATACTCAGAAGAAATCTAGAAACAAATTTGCTCTGTTTCAAATACAGAATTTTACAGAGAATATGTTCTTTTCCATTTGGGATTTCCATGTTCCCCTGCTTTGTTTGTCTTTGTTCTTTAAATACAGAAACTCTCAAAAAGAGGAAGAGTTGGAATAGCTGCATTGTTTTTGATTGCCAGTGAGCCATCAGTCTGGAATAAGTGAATTTTCTCTCTCCTCTATCTCAAGAACTTAGTGGGAGTTATGCTTTTAATTTTTCATAGCTTATGAACTGCAACTGGGGTGCTATGTGAACAATATCAAAGAGCTTTTCTAATGTAACACTCATGTTAAAAAGGCTTATTTTAGATGTCTCTTGCATTAGGCTGATTTATTATCTTGATAACTAGTGCCATCTGCTGTGTAATTAGTGTATTGCATGTAGTTGAAAGGAATTTGTGTTGGAATCAAACCTGATTTTTGCAAAGGACCAGACTGTATTGTACAAATGGAATTCAAATATACTCTGAAAGAATGCAGCTAGCTTCAGCTTCAGGAGTATTGATATATCATTGATTAACTTCAGTAATTTCAGGAAGGTAGCCAAAGTAGTCTGTTAGTAGCAAACCAAATGTTTGTTTTGTAGTATTTTAAAATATTATATAAAATAATACATTTATTATTCCCCTCATTTTAACAAGAATGTAGCAAAAATGAAAACAATGTGTCAACTACTATTCCAAAATAGTTTGTGTGAACACCTAGACTTAAATGTTCATTGCTGAAGATGCCACATGCAGAGAGAGTTGTTTGGGTAAGCACTGCACCTATGTAAGCAGTGTGCCTATATATGTATCCTTTTTCAGTATTGAGTCTACATATCTGTGTAAACTAGAATCACTGGGCCTAGAATAACTTATCTTCAATTAGTATCTGTAGAGGACAGAGGGTTAAAAACAAACAAAAATATATAGAAAGATATATTTTAAGGTGATTTTTTTACTTACCAGCTTACCTAGCAAATTAATGTTTTAATATCATCAATAAAGAAAATAAAATAGACCTTTGTGATTATTGAAAAACTAGTGAATGGCTGTGTAGGTTTAAAGACTTGCACTGAACCTACAAAACCTGAAAACTGGTGTGGTATACTCGCTAAACTGTTGGACTGGGATTAAGGAGACTGAGATTCAGATTCACTCTCAGCCATGGAAATGGGGTCAATTCAGCACACTCTTTCTCTGTCACTTTAACTTATCTCACAGGGTTGTTGTTGTAAGGGAAAAATGAAGAAAGAGTGCCTTGAATGTCACCTTTTGCTCCTGGAGGAAAATTGGGATAAAAATCTAGAAAATACATTAGTAACATAAAAAAAAAAATTCTACAGATTAAGCCTCGAAATATCAAAATATAAAAAATAATGGCTGTAAGGTCTCTTAATGGCAAGCTAATAATGAATAAAAGCAGCATTTTGTAGAGACTTTACTGTCAACAACAAGAATAGATTTGCTCTCTTTTAAGGCTGATTGTGTTTCAAAACAAGACCCAGGAAATAATGCCTATGTACTAAAACTTCTTTGAGAATGCTAATGTCACATAAGAAAATAACGTTTAAATTTAGTAATTTAGTAAATTTGGTGTCAGATTGGAACAAAGCCTATGCTTGATGAAAAGATCAGATAAAATAAGTACATTCTGTATCTAAAAATACGCATCTTTATCTATTTTTCATCACATGACATATACTTCAGAATTTGAAATCAGAATATTTACAGTAAAATGTTAATAGGTATATAGCACAGGCACATCCAGCATTATCATTGATTTAACGTTCTTTGGAAGTGGTAGTAATCTATTCTTTCAACATCCACATATGAGTGACAAATTGTTTTGTGGAAAATTTTAAATATCTATACCTATAGATTTATATGCTGCATGCATCTTTATATACTAGTAAGAATATACTTAAAATTGGTCTATTTTTTAATTTCATTTTCCCTGAAATTTGGGTGTATAAAATATTACAGTGGTCTTCATAATCTCCACAGGCTTTAGTCCAGTGTGAACAGCTTAAAAGTGAAATGGAGAGGCAGAGAGATCGCCTTGAAAAAGAGTTAACACTTCAGCTAGATAAGAGAGCTGGAGAGCGAGAAGCAGTTCGTGAAGAAATGAAGAAAGAAAAAGAAAACCTGTCATCACTGGTACTTTTCTTTCTTTTAAGCACTTTGGAGCATAAGCAATTTGGTTTTCTTTACTTTTTTCTTTTTTTTAACAGATAGTGCATTTATGAGTTTTTGTTAGAAACAATGTATATGTATGCAACTCTAGAAAAGAAAAAATAGAAAAAATCTCTAAACACTTGAGCTCTTTGATTATATTTTTTAAATAGCTTTCACTCAGCCCCAAAATATTCTTGTATGTACCAAACCTCATCTATACAAATGTGAGTCCAGGAAATAGTTTAAGGAACTTTTAAATGAAGCATGGCATGTACAGAGTTAGCTTTTGCTATTGTTTTGTTATTTGAGGAATAAATATTTCTTCATTAATTTGGAGGGTTTTTTTTTTTCAGATTTGGATTTAAAACAAAAAAAAAAGATTGGGAACATATAGCAAAAGAGGCATGTATACTTACAAACAATGGGAAAGAATAAAATAGATGTAAGGTGCTTTTAAATTCATTTAAAATAGTAGGTTTTGTCACTCGCTTTATGAAAGAAAAATTGGCTTGGTCACCCTGCTCATTTGCTAATCCATGGTGGGCAGCCCATGAGTCATTCTGGAATTGGGCAGCCTGTAAATTTGATAAATAAATAGGCAAGAAAATAAATAAATAAAAAATGTGACCTCAGAGCCCTCTCAGATTTCTGGTACTAAAATTCAGTGGCAAAGTCTTATTGTATATATGAAACTTAACAATAGGAACAAAATACTGGAAAATGCTGGAAAAATCCTGAAAATCCCAGCCTCAGTCTCTCTGATAACATCACAGCATCACTGTCACATCCTGTATCCCTCAAGTGCAGAGTTGTTGTTTTTTTTTTAATTTCTAAAGTCTGCCTCTGGCTTAAAAAAACCTGTAACAATAGAAAGGAAATAGCATCTACTGAATATAGGGAGGAAAGCAGTACTGGAGAAACATTAATGGCCGCATAAGAGCAAGAAAAGTTTAGGTATAGTGAAAATAGCACAGTGGAAAAACAGAAATATTTTTATTCCATAGAAAATAGAAGAAATGTTTAAGGATTATCTCATACTTAAGAGTGGTAATATGACGACTTGATGACAATTGAAGGTTACTTGATGACAACTGAAAGTTGTTGTTGCATACAGGCTACTTTTTAGAATTTTAGTTTTAGAACCAAAATTTATGTGAAGCAAAATGCTTTGAGCCTATCAATATTGTTCAAATCACTTCATTTTGAACCAGCCAATACAGGAGTTTAGAAGATGAGTTTGGCAGTGATGATAGAGCCATTGAATGAAGGCTTAGCCAGTATGAAGGGCATGAAGATCAAACAGTTGGTCAAATCTTGATTTTAAGTCACTATTTTAACCAGAAATCTGAAGTGTAACTGTCAGGTCATTTCCTTATCTGACCTAGAGTAAAGTCTCAGTGTCAAAAGCACATAGGGGTAATGTGTTTGTTTTTTTACAGAAATTCAGAGAGAGAAAAAGATTGGATGCAAAATTATAATAACAAAGTGTGTCATTAGGCTCAGTGGTTGGTTTACTGATGGAAAAGATTATTAATATGAAATGGACTGAATTATTTCTCTGGGCAGCAAGACAATCAAGTGAGTTAGAGATAGATGTGGCAAGTGAGGAATAAGTGCCAGGATAAACTGGAAATGGTGTTAGGTAGAATCATGGAAATTTTTCTCCATGGTCCATATCACAGCAGTTTACCCATAACATAAATACATAAAATGTCCACTTTATAAAAATAAAAACAACCAAAATACAGTATAAACAAATTATATGTAATCAGATAAATTGAGTCAGTTTCTTAAACTAAATCAAAGTGCTGAGATTTGAGAAAGGGAGCAAATAAACTAGAAACTGGCTAAGAAAAGAAAGATACCCTAGTCTCAATGTAATTATAAGGGCTTTGGGCCCCAAACAATTCTGGACTGCTTACTGGATGGCTTAGGACAAAGAAAAAAATCAACATTTGCCACTCAGTGAAAGAAACTTGGATGTATTTGTGTAACAAAAATATCCTTCCAAAGACAAAATGGATTGGCTGGTGTGGGTGTTCCGGGCTGTGTGGCCGTGTTCTTGAAGTTTTGTTTCCTAACGT